TTGGCTGAGGATGTTTACATGGCTCAGCCAGAGGGGTTTGTGGATCCGAAGCATCCAAATAGAGTGTGTAAGCTTGAGAAGTCCATTTATGGACTTAAGCAAGCGTCTCGCAGATGGAATCTTTGCTTCGATGAGAAAGTCAAAGAGTTTGGATTTGTACGAAGCGAAGACGAATCTTGTGTATATGTCAAAGCCAGTGGGAGTATAGTAAGCTTTCTCGTTCTATATGTCGATGACATATTACTCATAGGAACGACATCCCGACTCTGCAGGAGGTCAAGTCCTGGCTCGGGAAGTGTACTTCGCTATGAAGGACCTCGGAGAGGCTTCTTACATTTTGGGAATAAGGATAGTAAGAGAAAGAAGTAAGAGACTAATTGGACTTAGTCAGAATACTTACTTAGAGAAGGTACTAAAACGTTTTAGTATGGAAAACTCAAAGAAGGGAGAACTACCGATACAAGGAAATGCCAAGTTGAGTAAGACTCAAAGTCCGAGTACCGAAGCTGAGATAGCATAAATGAGCCGAGTACCATACGCTTCCGCAGTTGGCTCAATCATGTACGCTATGACTTGTACTCGCCCTGATGTAGCCTTCGCTTTGAGCATGGTTAGCAGATATCAAGGGAACCCTGGCAAAGCACATTGGATTGCGGTGAAGAACATCCTTAAGTACCTTCGGAGGACGAAAGAATGGTTCTTAGTCCTTGGAGGGAGTGATGACTTGAAGGTGCGAGGGTATAGTGACGCCAGCTTTCAGACCGACAGGGACAACTATCGTTCGCAGTCGGGCTGGGTCTTTACCCTAAATGGAGGAGCAGTGACATGGAAAAGTTCCAAGCAGGAAACCGTAGCTGATTCAACGTGCGAATCAGAGTACATCGCAGCGAGCGAAGCGTCGAAGGAGGCAATATGGCTAAAGAACTTCATTGGTGATCTTGGAGTTGTGCCGGCCATAAAGGAGCCCATGGAGATTTTCTGTGATAACGAAGGTGCGGTTGCCTTGACCAAGGAACCGAGGGATCATGGTAGATCTCGACATATCGACAGAAAATATCACTTCATTAGACATCGTGTAGAAGAAGGACAACTCGTAGTGAAGAGGATATCATCAGAAGATAACCCAGCAGATCCGCTTACGAAGGGACTGAGTAGGGTTAAGCACTTGCAGCATGCTAGGAGTATTGGGCTGAAGGATGATATTAGTATAGATTAGATAGTTTAGAAACGTATAATAGATAAATGTAATTAACATTTGATGATTAAATAAAGGAGTTTTATTTATGAGTAAAGTTACTGTCACATGTTAATTGTTTAACTATTGTTTCACTTTGCATGTTTTGACTTCCAGAATAATTGAGTTTATTAGGAATAATCGAATTATTCAAATGGTCCACAATCGTTCATATGTTGGGAGTAGATATGAATGAAGATTGTCATGAATTGGTGTGTAGAATGTCTAAATGGTGTTAGACATAGCAAGGGTTGCTGCAACGTTCATGAGTGCTTATGAACTGGTTTTGAGCATTGGAATAAACCCGCGCTTGCTGGAATCACCTTATGGAATACGATATAAAAGGTGATCGCAAGACGATAATATCATATAGTCTTAAAACCTAGATATATGGTTTATTATTTGTTAATTGATTGTACATTGATAATGCGAAAACGCATCAGTAACTCGGTGTTATAAAACGCATTGTTGTGTATAGTTGGTTAATGAATAAGTAAATGCATATAAGTCGAAGTTTATCTGTAACTTTTATCTAAGAAGGTAAAAGCGATATCTCGGCCGCTCGATGATTTGATTTGACTTATGTGCCGGGCCCGGTCAGAACTGAATTGATGTGTTTGATTAAGTTCTATGTCAAATAAATCAGAGATCGAGAAATCTAAATGCTTGACTAACCATTCCATAGGATTGTCAGCATGATATCTAACAGAGGACTGTACGATCCCTTATCTAAAGGACAAGATTGATTAGATCAGAGTTGACAGCGTCTTTGAGAGCTACGATTGCAAACCGAATTGTACTTGTATAGTTACTAGACTTATCCAAGTGGGAGACTGTTGGAATAGTGTCTAAGGCTGCAACTATATTAGGCAAGTATTTGATCCGGTTGTGCATGGTCCTTTTGGGTTGCCTTCACCATAGCAACTTGATGGATGATTTGTTAAAGAGAGTAAATATTATAAGGAATAATATATGGTTATTTGATTAATATAAGTCATAGATTAATTGGAATTAATTTGGTGACTTAAAGAGATTAATTAAATAAGAGGGTATAAACTGTCAATTGTTTGATAGTTAAACTTTAGACTATAAATCCTTATCCTAGATAGGATGGACGATTTCTAGGGCTTGGATAAGCTAAAATCGTCCAAAGGTTTATCTATGGAATGGATTTGGATAGCCTTAAGAGAAGATTATCCAATTAGGGTATATGTTGTAACCCTTAAGGAGTCTACAAGTATAAATAGACCCTAGGGGTGAGGGAATTTGACACACCATCAAAAGTAGAGATACTCTGGCCGAATTCCTCCCCTCTCCTCTCTCCTAAATCATCTTGCTTGCTATTGGTGTTTGTAAGCCATTAGAGGAGTGACATTTGTGACTCTAGAAGCTCCAAGACAACAAGATCAACAAGGAACTCAAAGGTATGATTCTAGATCTGTTTCAATGTTGTTATTTAACCTAATTAGCCATTAGAAGTCTTGGATTCAAAGTATGTTTAATTAGAAAGCCTAGATCCAAGCATTAGGGTTTTGCATGCGCACATAGGAAAGTTCTTATGGATAAAACCCATCAGTGATGTGGTTTGATCAAACAATGTTTTTAATTATTAACGTTTTCTAAAGTAATGTTTTAAAAATGAAATTTTTGGACGTGAAAATTGGGTCGTTACAAGTTGGTATCAGAGTCCTGGTTTGAGGGATTCGGACACACCTTCGGGGGTGTCTGAACTCAAATCGAGGGATTAAAAGATTTTCTAAAAGAAAATGTTTTCAAAAATTGAGAAAAGAGTTTTAAGGAAGAACGATGTGTGTGATGTGCGCGACCGGCCGAGCTCAAGTAAGTATTCCCCAAAGTACCCATATAAGTTTATGTTATGTTTATCAGCTTTTGTAGAACAGCATGATAGACTAGGACTAAGGATCTAGGAGTGATGCCTTATGTGCCTGCTTTATGTGTATCAGTTGTATGAGAATTGCATGCTAGTATTAAGTAGACAACGAGTAGGATAGCCTGATTAGGTTATGCCTGGTAATATGAGCTTAGCATTGTATGCTAGTACAACTCCTGTAAGCAGATAACGTTGATTGAGATTGTTACCCTTGTCTGAATGCTGCTTGCTTCGTGCTTTGTGGGACTCTGAATAATGAGGAGTTAGCCATTAGGCGAATATGTCACGTCACATGTGATCAGGGTTGAATAATCTTAGAGTGTCGGATTTGATCCTACTGCGTAGCTCTTGTTTGAGTCTAACCGTTCTAGGGACGAGTCGGGTACTAGAAGGATTATCCAACCGTTCTAGGGACGAGTCGGGTACTAAAAGCTACAAAGGGTCAAGACCTCCCGCATAAAAGTTCGCAAAAGGGTGGAATGAAGAACTCGACATAGCAAGGTCCTACTTGAATCAGGCAGCCAAACGAATGAAGAAATGGGCGGATGAAAAAAGACAACCCAGAGAATTCATTGTGGGAGACGAAGTAATGGTAAAGCTTCCCCAAAGAATGTTCAAATCTACACAACAAGTACATAAGGGCTTGAATCGAAGATATGAGGGGCCTTACAAGATTGTTGAAAAGATCGGGACGCAGTCATACAAACTCGAGTTACCATCAAACTTGAAGATACACCCCGTATTCCACGTAAGTCTCCTCAAACAATACAATTGGGACAAGGAAGACCCATCTAAAAGTGAATCACACCGCGCCCCAGTCGCCAATGTCGTCTCATATGATAAGGAGGTGGACAAAATCTTAGCCGACAGAGTAATTCGCAAAAGAGGATCGCCCAACTAGAAAGAGTATTACGTGCGATGGAAAGGATTCCCCGAGAGAGAATCTAGTTGGGAGCGAGAACAAGATTTATGGTAGTTCCGTGACAAGATCGACGCTTACCAAACTAAAACTTGACGAGGACGCCAAGGACCTTGGTGAGGTAGGGTGTCACGGACAATATCTAGAATCTTCCGGAGTAATCGAGAACGTGGGAGAACTTGCAAGTAAAGACCAAGAGATCCTGGAACGTCCTAGATTTCTCTAGGACATCGAAGAATAATTTAGTACATTTCATGGAAACTTGTAAATACATGTAGCTTGTAGAATAATCTAGATTAGTCATGATTATAGGAATAATGTGGTGATATCTAAAAACTTCCCTAGAAGGGGGAGGACAAGTATAAATAGGGAGGAGCTTATTTGCTCCCAAATCATCGGAAAGCTTCCTTGTATTCTCTCGAGCTCTCATAATAGAAGTTCTCTTTCGTTTGTAAATCTTGAAAGCCTTATTATATTGCTTAATTAATCGTTTATACATCTCTTGGAAGTGTAGAAGCCTGACTTAGTCGAAGTTACACCAAGTGGCACACGGTGAGCGAGTCATCCCATGACATCTAACCTTAGTCACCATCACCTCAATTTATCAAATCTCATGGGACCAAAAGCGCAGGTGGATAAGAAGTGGAAAAGTTTTTAAATAATTTAATAATCGCCCCTATTAAAATTGAATTGATGTTGGTTTGAAAGAATTAGGAAGAACACAAGGCTACTTTGAGATTTTATCATTAATCAAATTAACATCAATCATATTAATTTCCTATTATCAATCATTCATCAATATAAGTTCTGAGAATTATCTATCAACAATCATATCATCAAAAGTTCTCAAAATTAAAAGGATAAGGGAGAGAATACCTTCTTTTACAACAGAGGAAATAGAATGCAGATTATTTAGGTAGCATAGTACTAGACCTCCATCTCCTTTGAATGAAAGCTCAGAAGAAGTACCGGTGCAATCCAGTAATCCATGATTCCTCAATTTCTTCTCCCTCCTCAATGAGGAACACTTCATCTGGTTCTTCTGGTATGTAGTAAGGCTTAAAACCTACATCCTTCCAATACTCTGGATCGACATAGGGCTTATCGATTGCTTCCTTATCGTTGATGATCTTGTTAAACGGAGTATTCCAACATCCTGCTACGGTTGTTTTAAGTGAAACTGGACCAGCAGTCTAATAAGTTTTAATTGCACCTCCACTGAATTGCATAATCCAGTAGAGTTCTTTTTGTCAACTCAAATTGACCGTTAATTAGTATCTCCCCAACAGATCCAGACACATGATCCTCTTTGAAGTTAACATCAGCCATCTTACAGGTTTGTTTGCATGAAGAGCACTGCGATAAATATTGAAAATCACATCTATCAAACATACAGAGGAGATTACCAATAGCTAATGAAATCATTCTAATCAATTCAATGATTCATGTCTCATTTCCTTTCTGGTAATATATATTGAAATCGAAGCTTGCCTGAATATTGAAAACATAAATTTACATGATCAAACTTACATCAACAACGTATTTTCCTTTATCTCGATTCACACCGAAGCTCACCAATCCATCACACCGACATTTTGGCATGAGTTTGAAGCTTCTCAAGAGCTAGCACTTCCGTGTTCACCTTGCGTTGATACATAACGTAGATGGTGTCACTCTGATCCATGGTAGGTAAAAGAGTAGTATGAATCACTACTACCAAATATCTATTTATAGTACATAGCGTATGATAGCAGTTTGTAGTCTGTTACAAGGCACACACGCTTAAGAAAGGGGTAAATGACAAAGATATGATCGGACGGTTGTAACAAAAACTATCTCATACAACTTAATAGAAAAGGGTAATTTTAAAAGGTGTTGTTATTTACTCAATAAACCCTAATCTAAATAAGATAGTCTAAACATTTATATCTAATTATTTCCATTAATTGGGTTGCAAAATAGCGTGTACATATTTCTTTTTATCGAAGTCAACTCCATTGAATTTTGTGATTCCATCTTTTTAAAACTTAAATCATTACACTAAAAATTTACTATTATTTATCTTTATAATATTTATGGATTTTTTTGTTTAAAAAAACTTTAACTTAATTGTTTATGTGTTTGTAATTTGTAATTTTATACTTATTATATTGGTTATTATATTGGGTATTTTAAGTTTTATAAGCAAAATATATACATTGACTCTCACGTCGCTGTCGAAAGAATTTTTCCAAACTGTTCAATACTTGGTGTAAAAAAACAGGAAAATTGTCAGAAAAGTCTCAATATTTTAGAAAAAGTTTCACTTTAGTCCCAAATTTTATTTTTTTAACAGAAAAGTCTCGATTATTTGATTTTACATGATAATATGTCATTTCATGTTAAAATAAAAAATGATTTTTTTTTGTTAATTTGAGCTAAAATGAAATAATCGAGATTTTTTTGTTTAAAAAGCAAAATTTAGGACTAAAGTGAATTTTTTCCGAAAATATTGAGATTTTTCTAACAATTTTCCTAAAAAAACACTCTATTGTAAAGATGTTTTTATCAAAATGTTTTTCATTCCAAGATCATCTAAGGAAAGAGCGTGAGTTTTTTACTATAAATAAAACCAACCTATTTTAAAATAAAATGAAAAAAAAACAATCTTTTTATTATTGGATGTTAGTCTCTTTAGGTTACAAAAGAGGAGTGATTGATCCCACTTTATTTAGAAAAGCAAATGGTGACCACCTTATGCTTGTACAAATATACGTGGATGATATCATCTTCGGATCGTCGGATCAAGGAATGGTGGATGAATTTGCTAAGCTCATGACTAACAAATTCCAAATGAGCATGAATAGAGAGATTAATATCTTTCTAGGTCTCCAGGTCAAACAAATTCAACAAGGGATATTCATTCATCAAGAGAAATACACCACATAACTATTGAAGAAATATTCGATGGATAATTGTTCCTCGGCTAAGGTCCCCATGGCCTTCGTTTATAAGATCTCTGCTGATCCCTCTGGAAAATTTGTGGATCACAAGACTTATAGTGGTATCATTGGCTCTCTAATGTACCTCACCACAAGCCGACCAAACATTGTCTTTGGAACTGGTGTATGTGCAAGGTATCAGGCTGACCCAAAAGTGTCACATATGACCGCAGCTAAACAAATTCTCCGGTAGCTGAAAGGAAGGAAATCTCTTGGTCTATGGTACCCTGCAGGAGATGACTTCAGTCTTCAAGCATTTACAGATGCGAATCATGCCTGATGCAAACTTGATCGAAAAAGTACCTCAGGTGGATTTCAATTTCTGGGAGGAAGACTCGTCAGCTAGTCCTCAAGAAAACAAAGTTGCGTATCATTGTCTACCGCAGAAGCTAAATATGTGGCCGCAGCCAGCTGTTGTTCTCAAATTCTATGGATGAAGACACAACTGTTAGACTACGAATACAAAATGTTGTGGATACCAATCTACTGTGACTCTGAAAGTGCCATAGCGATTTCTCATAATCCTATTCAGCACTCCAAGACGAAACATATTGAACTACGGTATCACTTCATCAAAGACCACATTCTGAAAGGTAACATTGAAATCATCTTTGTCCCTACGCATGAAGAGATTGTTGATGTATTAACAAAAGCACTTGACTCTACCAAACTCAACGCATTCTTACAAATATTAGGAATGATGAATCCGGACCCTCAATTTTTCTTGAATTGATAAGTACCGCAGACCATCCTTGGTCTCCATTGCGGTCCTAACTGAAAGTTATTTATAATAAATTGTTTTGGTATATTTTGTGTACCGCAGTCTATGTACCGCAACCATATATTATATTTATCTTTCACTGGTCTATATTGTGTGTTATTACTAACTTATAGTACAAGTTCTCTTCTCAGTTTCTTCCACTGTAGTCATCCGCAATGGCAAAGGATCCATCCGCAATGATGTGCTCATCTGCAGTCACATTAATTGGTTTTCAGACTGTTCATTCTTTTATATAACAAAAAATATAAAAAATATATTTTAAAATAAAAAAATGGTGTGCTATTCAATGATCCTTCATTAAATAAAACATTAAATAAAAACATTCCTTGAGAAACTGTCTCATTCTTTTTCTCTAAACCTCGTGTCAGACCTATTTTACGTATGATGATGAAAAGATAGATTTTCCAAATCAAATCCTTTTAATATGTCTTTTCCTATTAACCCAAAATATTACATCCGTTTCAACTTCCACTTTACCCAACGGATTAATCTCTCCCCATACACATGTTCACCAGACATGATGTTAAATCTGACATTTCATTAAATGCAAACGCTCTTTGGTAAATCCCAATTTCAGATTTATTCCCTTTTTATTCATATGTGGCTGAGATTAAAAACCCCAATTCAAACGGTAAACCCAAACGTCTTTACCCAAATTTACTTAGGTAAAAAACGTTTCCCGCTCCCTTAAACCACTATAAAACCCCTTCTTCTCCACAAAAATCAGTTTACGCTCTCTAAACCTTCAACCTTTTTCTGCATTCTTCAAAGCTTTCTCAAACTCTCAACAATGGTGAAATGAAATGTCTAGAAGAAACAATCCAAGGCTTCTGGATCAGTGAACCCTACTGGTTCAGACTCTCCTAGAATTGCTTCAAGAAATTTCAGAGTTGTCTTTGAAGAACACCCTCTCTACAATACTCCCACGAAACTCATGATCAAATTCCTGAAGAATCACCCTCTGTTTGGTCCCTTCGATGCTTTCACAGATGTTGTTCTCAAGCCTATTCAAATGTGCCTTCTCGGCATATCACCCACTCGATAACCCCCAAGAAGTTCATCTTAACCTACTTAATGATTCTTTGGTTATTCTGTCCAAAGAAAAGTTTTTCACCGCCATTAACCTCCTTGTTCATCCCTCCATCAAGATTTTCTCCCCATCAATGGCAGACATTACCTCAGCTCTCTACCAAATGGGATATCATAAAAGGATCAAAGGTATCGGTGAATTCAAGAAAAACCAGTTGCTTGCGGTCTGGCAATTCGTGTGCCACTTCGTCATTCGCAGTTTATCCGGCAGAACCGGAGGAACGGATAATATGGGCCTCAAGCTATTGGAACTAGTATGGAGCATCTTCACAGGTCGCGATGTGAACTACAGACAGATTCTTTGGGATGATTTTCTTCAATACATTCCCAAGGAGAGCCCAAGGGAGAACCCAACCGAACTCACTTTTTCAAGGTTTTGGTCCCTTTGCATTACAGACCTTCATGTGGATGGAGGAATCGACATGGGCAGTGACATCAACTTCTTTGTCACCAAGGATCTGAAAAGGTACAACCCTTCATCCGATCAATCAATTTTTGGACCAATCCGCAGACTCCTGACCCACATTCTCTCTACCCTAGGTCTTGAGACTGCTGATGTCTTAGACCACATTCAGGCTACGGAAGGTATTGACCCATACCTTCCTACCCTACCTCCTCCAAATCCATCCGCAACCGTTAACCCTGAAGGTACCGTAGCCCCTTCCTCCACAACTCTCTCCAATATTTCACAAAGATGTAAGCATAAAGTTTCTGCTCTTCATGGCCCCCGCAACACCAAAAAGCAAGGAACCCCCAAAAAGGATGCTTCCAAGCCCTCCAAGAAAAAGAAAACACCACCAGTAATCACCAGTGAAGAACCAATCCAACATGACTCCAGTAGTGATTCAGACGAGGATGATCAACCTATCTCAATCCTCAAGAAGCAAAAAACCGATCCCTCTAGCCATATGCGTGACCGGACTGATACCTCAGCCTCTTAACAGGCTCCGGTAGTCCTTGGGATGCCCGCACATCCATTTGATACTACGATCCTCTTCCTCTCGGACTCAGAAAGTGAGTCTGATTCACAGCAACGAGGAGACTCCCCCCAGTTCAATCCCAAGAGGATGATATTGGTTCTCGCCCTAGAGTTGATGGGTTTTGATCATAAGAACATCCTATGTGCTCAAACAAACCCTAATGCTTAGATCTAGGTTTCTCTATTGTACATGCAATTCATCCAAGACTATAAACCCTAATTCTAGCATATGATAATCGATATTAACATAATAATGGGTTTAAGATATTACCTTGATTGTTATGTAGCAATAAAAATCACAATTCCTTCTTATAATGACTTTAGAAAGCTTAGAGTCACAAATGTCACTCCTCTAATGGTTCACAAACACCAAGAGTAAGAGGATGAAGAGGAGAAGAGAAGGAGGCTACCCAAAATCGTCCAAAACCCTAAAAGGAAGCTTGTCCACGTTTTTGAGGCATAAGGGTTCTATATATAGTGAGGCTATTAGGGTTATCTAACAAGGAAACCCTAATTTGGATGCTTAAGCCCTAAGCAACCCATAGACTCCTTTAATTAAAGGCCTTGGACGATTTCCAATGGGTTTCCCCATAGAATTCATCCAACCTTATAATATAAGGTAATCCATAGCCCAATTGCAATTATCTTATAATTACAATTCCAATCCCTTAAGTTTAATTAATCTCTTTTAGTCACAAACTTAATTCTTATTAATTCTTGACTAATATTAATTAAACAATATGATTTCTCCTTTAATATATTATTCCCATAA